GAGTGTGTGTGAGATGGTGTAAGTGTGTGTGAGATGGTGGTGTGAGTATGTGTGAGATGGTGGTGTGAGTGAGTGTAAGTGGATGTGAGTGTGTGTGAGATGGTAGTGTGTGTGAGATGGTGGTGTGAGTGTGTGTGAGATGGTGGTGTGAGTGAGTGTAAGTGGGTGTGAGTGTGTGTGAGATGGTGATGTGAGTGTGTGTGAGATGGTGGTGTGAGTGTGTTTGAGATGATCGTGTGAGTGAGTGTAAGTGGGTGTGAGTGTGTGTGAGATGGTGGTGTGAGTGTGTGTGAGATGGTGGTGTGAGGGTGTGTGAGATGGTGGTGTGAGTGAGTGTAAGTGGGTGTGAGTGAGTGTAAGTGGGTGTGAGTGTGTGTGAGATGGTGGTGTGAGTGTGTGTGAGATGGTGGTGTGAGTATAAGTGGGTGTGAGTGTGTGTGAGATGGTGGTGTGAGTGTATGTGAGATGGTGGTGTGAGTGAGTGTAAGATGTTGGTGTGAGTGAGTGTAAGTGGGTGTGAGTGTGTGTGAGATGGTGGTGTGAGTGAGTGTAAGTGTGTGTGAGAAGGTGGTGTGAGTGTGTGTGAGAAGGTGGTGTGAGTGAGTGTGAGTGGGTGTGAGTGTGTGTGAGATGGTGGTGTGAGTGAGTGTAAGTGGGTGTGAGTGTGTGTGAGAGGGTGGTGTGAGTGAGTGTAAGTGTGTGTGAGTGTGTGTGAGATGGTGGTGTGAGTGAGTGTAAGTGGGTGTGAGTGTGTGTAAGATGGTGGTGTGAGTGAGTGTAAGTGGGTGTGAGTGTGTGTGAGATGGTGATGTGAGTGTGTGTGAGATGGTGGTGTGAGTATGTGTGAGATGGTGGTGTGAGTGAGGGTAAGTGGATGTGAGTGTGTGTGAGATGGTAGTGTGAGATGGTGGTGTGAGTGTGTGTAAGTGGGTGTGAGTGTGTGTGAGATGGTGGTGTGAGTGAGTGTAAGTGGGTGTGAGTGTGTGTGAGATGGTGATGTGAGTGTGTGTGAGATGGTGGTGTGAGTGTGTGTGAGATGGTGGTGTGAGTGTGTGTGAGATGGTGATGTGAGTGAGTGTAAGTGGGTGTGAGTGTGTGTGAGATGGTGGTGTGAGTGTGTGTGAGATGGTGGTGTGAGTGTGTGTGAGATGGTGATGTGAGTGAGTGTAAGTGGGTGTGAGTGTGTGTGAGATGGTGGTGTGAGTGTGTGTGAGATGGTGGTGTGAGTGAGTCTAAGTGTGTGTGAGTGAGTGTAATGGGTGTGAGTGTGTGTGAGATGGTGGTGTGAGTGAGTGTAAGTGGGTGTGAGTGTGTGCGAGATGGTGGTGTGAGTGAGTGTAAGTGGGTGTGTGTGAGATGGTGGTGTGAGTGAGTGTAAGTGGGTGTGAGTGTGTGTGAGATGGTGGTGTGAGTGAGTGTACGTGGGGTTGAGTGTGTGTGAGATGGTGATGTGACTGTGTGTGAGATGGTGGTGTGAGTGTGTGTGAGATGGTGGTGTGAGTGTGTGTGAGATGGTGGTGTGAGTGAGTCTACAGTGTGTGTGAGTGTGTGTGAGATGGTGGTGTGAGTGTGGTGTGAGATGGTGGTGTGAGTGAGTGTAAGTGGGTGTGAGTGTGTGCGAGATGGTGGTGTGAGTGAGTGTAAGTGGGTGTGTGTGAGATGGTGGTGTGAGTGAGTGTAAGTGGGTGTGAGTGTGTGTGAGATGGTGGTGTGAGTGAGTGTAAGTGGGTGTGAGTGTAAGTGGGTGTGAGTGTGTGTGAGATGGTGATGTGAGTGTGTGTGAGATGGTGGTGTGAGTATGTGTGAGATGGTGGTGTGAGTGAGTGTAAGTGGATGTGAGTGTGTGTGAGATGGTAGTGTGAGATGGTGGTGTGAGTGTGTGTAAGTGGGTGTGAGTGTGTGTGAGATGGTGGTGTGAGTGAGTGTAAATGGGTGTGAGTGTGTGTGAGATGGTGATGTGAGTGTGTGTGAGATGGTGGTGTGAGTGTGTGAGATGGTGGTGTGAGTGTGTGTGAGATGGTGATGTGAGTGAGTGTAAGTGGGTGTGAGTGTGTGTGAGATGGTGGTGTGAGTGTGTGTGAGATGGTGATGTGAGTGAGTGTAAGTGGGTGTGAGTGTGTGTGAGATGGTGGTGTGAGTGTGTGTGTGAGATGGTGGTGTGAGTGTGTGTGAGATGGTGGTGTGAGTGAGTGTAAGTGGGGTGTGTGTGAGATGGTGGTGTGAGTGAGGGTAAGTGGGTGTGTGTGAGATGGTGGTGTGAGTGAGTGTAAGTGGGTGTGAGTGTGTGTGAGATGGTGGTGTGAGTGAGTGTAAGTGGGTGTGAGTGTGTGCGAGATGGTGGTGTGAGTGAGTGTAAGTGGGTGTGTGTGAGATGGTGGTGTGAGTGAGTGTAAGTGGGTGTGAGTGTGTGTGAGATGGTGGTGTGAGTGAGTGTATGTGGGTTTGAGTGTGTGTGAGATGGTGATGTGACTGTGTGTGAGATGGTGGTGTGAGTGTGTGTGAGATGGTGGTGTGAGTGTGTGTGAGATGGTGGTGTGAGTGAGTCTAAGTGTGTGTGAGTGTGTGTGAGATGGTGGTGTGAGTGTGTGTGAGATGGTGGTGTGAGTGAGTGTAAGTGGGTGTGAGTGTGTGCGAGATGGTGGTGTGAGTGAGTGTAAGTGGGTGTGTGTGAGATGGTGGTGTGAGTGAGTGTAAGTGGGTGTGAGTGTGTGTGAGATGGTGGTGTGAGTGAGTGTAAGTGGGTGTGAGTGTGTGTGAGATGGTGATGTGACTGTGTGTGAGATGGTGGTGTGAGTGTATGTGAGATGGTGGTGTGAGTGTGTGTGAGATGGTGGTGTGAGTGAGTCTAAGTGTGTGTGAGTGTGTGTGAGATGGTGATGTGAGTGAGTGTAAGTGGGTGTGAGTGTGTGTGAGATGGTGGTGTGAGTGTGTGTGAGATGGTGGTGTGAGTGAGTCTAAGTGTGTGTGAGTGAGTGTAAGTGGGTGTGAGTGTGTGTGAGATGGTGGTGTGAGTGAGTGTAAGTGGGTGTGAGTGTGTGTGAGATGGTGGTGTGAGTGTAAGTGGGTGTGTGTGAGATGGTGGTGTGAGTGAGTGTAAGTGCGTGTGAGTGTGTGTGAGATGGTGGTGTGAGTGAGTCTAAGTGTGTGTGAGTGTGTGTGAGTGAGATGGTGGTGTGAGTGTGTGTGAGATGGTGGTGTGAGTGAGTGTAAGTGGGTGTGAGTGGGTGTGAGATGGTGGTGTGAGTGAGTGCAAGTGTGTGTGAGTGTGTGTGAGATGGTGGTGTGAGTGAGTGTGAGTGGGTGTGAGTGTGTGTGGGATGGTGGTGTGAGTGAGTGTAAGTGGGTGTGGGTGTGAGTGTGTGTTAGATGGTGATGTGAGTGAGTGTAAGTGGGTGTGAGTGTGTGTGAGATGGTGGTGTGAGTGAGTGTAAGTGTGTGTGAGAAGGTGGTGTGAGTGTGTGTGAGATGGTGGTGTGAGTGAGTGTAAGTGGGTGTGAGTGTGTGTGAGATGGTGGTGTGAGTGAGTGTAAGTGTGTGTGAGTGTGTGTGAGATGGTGGTGTGAGTGAGTGTAAGTGGGTGTGAGTGTGTGTGAGATGGTGGTGTGAGTGAGTGTAAGTGGGTGTGAGTGTGTGTGAGATGGTGGTGTGAGTATAAGTGGGTGTGAGTGTGTGTGAGATGGTGGTGTGAGTGTGTGTGAGATGGTGGTGTGAGTGTGTGTGAGATGGTGGTGTGAGTGAGTGTAAGTGGGTGTGAGTGTGTGTAAGATGGTGGTGTGAGTGAGTGTAAGTGGGTGTGAGTGTGTGTGAGATGGTGATGTGAGTGTGTGTGAGATGGTGGTGTGAGTATGTGTGAGATGGTGGTGTGAGTGAGTGTAAGTGGATGTGAGTGTGTGTGAGATGGTAGTGTGAGATGGTGGTGTGAGTGTGTGTAAGTGGGTGTGAGTGTGTGTGAGATGGTGGTGTGAGTGAGTGTACGTGGGTGTGAGTGTGTGTGAGATGGTGATGTGAGTGTGTGTGAGATGGTGTTGTGAGTGTGTGTGAGCTGGTGGTGTGAGTGTGTGTGAGATGGTGGTGTGAGTGAGTCTAAGTGTGTGTGAGTGTGTGTGAGATGGTGGTGTGAGTGTGTGTGAGATGGTGATGTGAGTGAGTGTAAGTGGCTGTGAGTGTGTGTGAGATGGTGGTGTGAGTGTGTGTGTGAGATGGTGGTGTGAGTGTGTGTGAGATGGTGGTGTGAGTGAGTTTAAGTGTGTGTGAGTGAGTGTGTGTGAGATGGTGGTGTGAGTGTGTGTGAGATGGTGGTGTGAGTGTGTGTGAGATGGTGGTGTGAGTGTGTGTGAGATGGTGGTGTGAGTGTGTGTGAGATGGTGGTGTGAGTGAGTGTAAGTGGGTGTGAGTGTGCGTAAGATGGTGGTGTGAGTGAGTGTGAGTGGGTGTGAGTGTGTGTGAGATGGTGGTGTGAGTGAGTGTAAGTGGGTGTGAGTGTGTGTGAGATGGTGGTGTGAGTGAGTGTAAGTGGGTGTGAGATGGTGGTGTGAGTGAGTGTAAGTGGGTGTGAGATGGTGGTGTGAGTGTAAGTGGGTGTGAGATGGTGGTGTGAGTGAGTGTAAGTGGGTGTGAGTGTGTGTGAGATGGTGGTGTGAGTGAGTGTAAGTGGGTGTGAGATGGTGGTGTGAGTGAGTGTAAGTGGGTGTGAGATGGTGGTGTGAGTGAGTGTAAGTGGGTGTGAGATGGTGGTGTGAGTGAGTGTAAGTGTGTGTGAGATGGTGGTGTGAGTGAGTGTAAGTGGGTGTGAGATGGTAGTGTGAGTGAGTGTGAGTGAGTGTGAGTGAGTGTGAGTGGGTGTGAGTGAGTGTGAGTGGGTGTGAGTGGGTGTTAGTGAGTGTGAGTGGGTGTGAGTGAGTGTGAGTGAGTGTGAGTGGGTGTGAGTGAGTGTGAATGAGTGTGAGTGGGTGTGAGTGAGTGTGATTGTAAGTGGGTGTGCGTGGGTGTTCTCTCCTCACCGGGTGAACGGGGTGCGTGAGCTCTGGGGGCGATTCCCCCCACCCCCCATCCCCCCCCCCCCTGCGGGCTCCCTAAGGCATTGGGAACATCACCTACACACATCACCACCATCACCACGATTAACATCACCTACACACATCACAATTAACATTACCTACACACATCACAATTAACATCACCTACACACATCACCACCATCAGCACCGTTAACATCACCTACACACATCACCACCATCAGCACCGTTAACATCACCTACACACATCACCACGATTAACATCACCTACACACATCACCACCATCATCACGATTAACATCACCTACACACATCACAATTAACATCACCTACACACATCACCACCATCAGCACCGTTAACATCACCTACACACATCACCACAATTAACATCACCTACACACATTACCACCATCGCCACGATTAACATCACCTACACACATTACCACCATCACCACCGTTAACATCACCTACACATAAGATCACCATCAACATCACCTACACACACCATCAACACCATCACCATTAACATAATCTTCACACAGCATTAACATCGCCATTAACATCATCATTGCCTACACACTTTATCACCATTAACATCATGAACATCTACCAACACCAGCAACATCACCAACATCAGCAGCATCACCATCATCGGTGTCAAGTTCACCATCAGTAACAGCATCAACAACATCATCAGCAGCATCAACAACATCATCATCAGCAGCATCAACAACATCATCAGCAGCAGCGTCACCAACGTCACCATAATCATCAGCAGCAACCTCAGCATCATCAGCATCACGCGACGCCCCGACTCCGGGCCCGCAGCGTGAGAGAGGGAGGGAGAGCACCTGACGCTCTCCCCTCACTCTCCCGAGGCCTCCCCCTGCTCTCCCACGCTCTCTCCTCACTCTCCCGAGGCCCTCCCTGCTCTCCCACGCTCTCTCCTCCCCCTTTCGCTACGGAGGCCCCTCGCCTCTCCCCGCACGGCCTGAGACTCGCACTTTCTCTCGCTTCTCTCCCCTCTACTTTATCTCCCTCCCTACTCTCTTCGCTCTCTCTACACTCTCCCGTCTCTTCTTCCACGCTCTCCCAAACTCTCTTTCCCGTCCTACCACCCCCTACATTCTCCCTATCGCTCCCCTCCCTCTAATCTCTCCACTCTCCTTCTCCCTCCCTCCATTCTCGCCTCTCTCTCTCACCCCTCCCCACTCTCACCAGCGATCCCTGTCCCTGCTCCGCGCGCCCCCCTCTCCCCCCCTTCCCCCCCTTCTCCCCCTCCCTTCCCCCCCTTCTCCCCCTCCCTTCCCCCCCTTCTCCCCCTCCCTTCCCCCCTTCTCCCCCTCTCCCCCCCCCTCCCCCCCTCTCCCCCCCCCTTCCCCCCCTCTCCCCCCCCCGTCTCCTCCCTCCCCCCCGTCTCCCCCTCCCCCCGTCTCCCCCTCCCCCCGTCTCCCCTCTCCCTCCAGTATCCCCCCCCGTCTCCCCCTTCCCTCCCGTCTCCCGCCCCCGTCTCCTCCCTCCCCCCCGTCTCCCCCCTCCCCACTCATCTCCCCCCCCCGTCTCCCCCCGTCTCCCCCCCCCGTCTCCCCCCTCCCCCCCCGTCTCCCCCCCCGTCTCCCCCCCGTCTCCCCCTCCCCCCCCCAGTCTCCCCCCCCCAGTCTCCCCCCCCCCAGTCTCCCCCCCAGTCTCCCCCCCCCCAGTCTCCCCCCCCAGTCTCCCCCCCCCAGTCTCCCCCCCCCAGTCTCCCCCCCCCAGTCTCCCCCCCCGTCTCCCCCCCCCCCCGTCTCCCCGGGAGAGTTCCCTGTGGCTATCATTGGCCGTGGCTGGGGTAAGGGGGAGGGGTGGTGAAGGGGCACGGCGCCCCCCGCCCCTCGCGGGGGGATCCGCCCCTACCCTTCCACGTGTCACGCGCGTCTCTCCCCTCGCGCGCGACCCCTGCCCGGGGGGGGGGGGGGGTGGGGGGGTAATTAGGCGCGTGCTCATTAATGCTGCCCGCGCGCCACACGATGAGAGGGGGGACCGCGGGGGTAAAGGCGGGATGAGACCCCCCCCCACACCGCGGGGGGTGGTCCCGCCGCGTTGTGGGGGGGGGCATGAGGAACCCATTTCTCATTGAGGGTGTCACGTGTTGCTCACTCTGCAGGTACTCGCGTTGCCAAGGCAACCAGGTACCACAGCGGGGACTGTCGCTCCCCATCGCCACCCCTGTAGGCCCCCTTCCCCGCCACGCCACGTGGCACCACCAGGTCCGTTTCGACGAGGAGATTCTCAGGGCTTCATGTCGAGGGGGAGAGGGTAGTTTGGGGTAGTTCCCCCCCCGCCCCCCTCGTGACAAATGCCCCCCACCCTCCCCTCTGCCCCCCACCCTCCCCTCTGCCCCCCACCCTCCCCTCTGCCCCCCACCCTCCGCTCTGCCCCCCACCCTCCCCCTGCCCCCCACTCAGCTCCGCCAAATTCATCCCAGACTCGCCGCCGCTGTAAAGCGAGAACGCGGCGCACGTGTGGGGGTGGGGTGGGGGGTTCCTTGGCAACGGAGCGTGGGATTAGGGTCGGGTGGTGAGAGTGCGTGTACACACACCTACACACACACCCACACACCTACACACACACACTTACACACACCTACACACACACCTACACACATACCCACACACCTACACACACACACTTACACACCTACACACACACACCTACACACACACACCTACACACACACACCTACACACACACACCTACACACACACACCTACACACACACACCTACACACACACACCTACACACACACACCTACACACACACACCTACACACACACACCTACACACACACACCTACACACACACACCTACACACACACACCTACACACACACACCTACACACACACACCTACACACACACACCTACACACACACACCTACACACACACACCTACACACACACACACCTACACACACACACCTACACACACACACCTACACACACACACCTACACACACACACCTACACACACACACCTACACACACACACCTACACACACACACCTACACACACACACCTACACACACACACCTACACACACACACCTACACACACACACCTACACACACACACCTACACACACACACCTACACACACACACCTACACACACACACCTACACACACACACCTACACACACACACCTACACACACACACCTACACACACACACCTACACACACACACCTACACACACACACCTACACACACACACCTACACACACACACCTACACACACACACCTACACACACACACCTACACACACACACCTACACACACACACCTACACACACACACCTACACACACACACCTACACACACACACCTACACACACACACCTACACACACACACCTACACACACACACCTACACACACACACCTACACACACACACCTACACACACACACCTACACACACACACCTACACACACACACCTACACACACACACCTACACACACACACCTACACACACACACCTACACACACACACACCTACACACACACACACCTACACACACACACACACACCTACACACACACACACCTACACACACACACACCTACACACACACACACCTACACACACACACACACCTACACACACACACACCTACACACACACACACCTACACACACACACACCTACACACACACACACCTACACACACACACACCTACACACACACACACCTACACACACACACACCTACACACACACACACCTACACACACACACACCTACACACACACACACCTACACACACACACACCTACACACACACACACCTACACACACACACACCTACACACACACACACCTACACACACCTACACACACCTACACACACCTACACACACACACCTACACACACACACCTACACACACACACCTACACACACACACCTACACACACACACCTACACACACACACCTACACACACACACCTACACACACACACCTACACACACACACCTACACACACACACCTACACACACACACCTACACACACACACCTACACACACACACCTACACACACACACCTACACACACACACCTACACACACACACCTACACACACACACCTACACACACACACCTACACACACACCTACACACACACACCTACACACACACACCTACACACACACCTACACACACACACCTACACACACACCTACACACACACACCTACACACACACACCTACACACACACACCTACACACACACACCTACACACACACACCTACACACACACACCTACACACACACACCTACACACACACACATCCACACACACACCTACACACACACACCTACACACACACACCTACACACACACACCTACACACACACACCTACACACACACACCTACACACACACACCTACACACACACCTACACACACACACCTACACACACACACACACCTACACACACACACACACCTACACACACACACACACCTACACACACACACACACCTACACACACACACACACCTACACACACACACACACCGACACACACACACACACCTACACACACACACACACCTACACACACACACACACCTACACACACACACACACCTACACACACACACACACGTACACACACACACACACCTACACACACACACACACCTACACACACACACACACCTACACACACACACACACCTACACACACACACACACCTACACACACACACACCTACACACACACACACACCTACACACACACACACACCTACACACACACACACACCTACACACACACACACACCTACACACACACACACACCTACACACACACACACACCTACACACACACACACACCTACACACACACACACACCTACACACACACACACACCTACACACACACACACACCTACACACACACACACACCTACACACACACACACACCTACACACACACACACACCTACACACACACACACACCTACACACACACACACACCTACACACACACACACACCTACACACACACACACACCTACACACACACACACACCTACACACACACACACACCTACACACACACACACACCTACACACACACACACACCTACACACACACACACACCTACACACACACACACACCTACACACACACACACACCTACACACACACACACACCTACACACACACACACACCTACACACACACACACACCTACACACACACACACACCTACACACACACACACACCTACACACACACACACACCTACACACACACACACACACCTACACACACACACACACCTACACACACACACACACACACCTACACACACACACACACACACCTACACACACACACACACACCTACACACACACACACACACCTACACACACACACACACACACCTACACACACACACACACACACCTACACACACACACACACACACCTACACACACACACACACCTACACACACACACACCTACACACACACACCTACACACACACACACACACCTACACACACACACCTACACACACACACACCTACACACACCTACACACACACACACCTACACACACCTACACACACACACACACCTACACACACACACACACCTACACACACACACACACCTACACACACACACACACCTACACACACACACACACCTACACACACACACACACCTACACACACACACACACCTACACACACACACACACCTACACACACACACACACCTACACACACACACACACCTACACACACACACACACCTACACACACACACACACACACCTACACACACACACACACACCTACACACACACACACACACACCTACACACACACACACACCTACACACACACACACACCTACACACACACACACACACCTACACACACACACACACCTACACACACACACCTACACACACACACACACACCTACACAAAGACAAAGACAAAGATCCCCCGTATAGCCTTAACAGACTGTAGGGGCAAGTGCTGTTAGCGAGCACCTATGAAGGCCCGAACGGTACACGAGGGGGTGGGTGGCCAGCACCACGCCCGACCGCCTTTGTCTCCCTAATGGCAATG